AGGAGCCCACTGTCACCGTCGCCCCCAGCCCGGGCTGTCCCACAGTCAGTCAGCTCTTGGTGCCCCAGCGATGGCGTTCCGGCGGGGAGCCTGCTCTGCCAGCAACGCTGAAACACACGTCTAGTCCCTGCTGCCGCCGAACAGATGAATGCAATGTCAGGTCACCTCAGGTGCTAATGTGACAAGATGCCATTAGGAAAAACCATTGAAAAGAAGAAATGTGACACAACACCAGAAGTAAATAGGAAAGCCAAACCAGCAAGAGTGTAATCGCCTCCTGCGGACAGCCCATAGGAGTGTAATGAAGTACCAAGCGGGATCTGTGAGTATTTTCTCACACATTAGGGGGAGAAAAAGCCTGCCCAGAGATACGCGTGCAGGCTGTTAAAGGCAGTATTTGCTTTTGTGGAGGTGACACTAATAATCTGTCAGGGATCACACCTCGGCCAAAAGAGTAATTGGTGCAAACAAGAATTGTAATAAAGCCAAGAACAGAAAGAAGAGAGAAATGTTGCAATGATTCTTATTACTCCAAGGATGGATCGGAAATCTCCTAGAGGAAGCATTGCCATGTTTGGCATAATTTAGAAATGGGAATTACTTACTTTCTGGGGGGGGAAAGGTACTATACTCCTTGAACATTTTCTGCAGAAGAGAACAACTTTAAAAGGCATAAGGAGAATCCAAAGTAGAGGACAATTCTGTGCAGAACAGGGGAAGGATGTGGTGCCTTTTAGAAGAGTAAAGAGGCAACAAATGTATGTGCCATATGGATTGTCAGAAGCAGTGAGCACGACCAGCTTGGAAAGAAGTTACCAGTGCTCAACAGGGGTGAAATGAGGCTTGAAATACCCAGTTCATCTCTAACAGCTATTCTCCTGTTCTGAAATAGTTCAGTCTAGAAAAAGGCACAGACCCAAATTCTCCAGTGTGTTTTAAACTCTTCACCTTGTAGAGACGTTCAATCTGCTAATTAGACATGACAATGCTGGATTAGATAACCAATACCAAAATTTACTACTGCCTGCTATAAGTTGCTTTTGGCAGTGTTCAGTGTCAGAAGCAATAGCATTAGCTCTGCTCCTTTCTCACACTGCAGATGATGGAAGCTTTCAGGAAGATGAATTAAATTCCACTAACAGAAGGAGAAAAAAGAATCTAAATATGTGGAGAGAGCCACAGTAAAAGTCCACTTGGGTTATTTCAAAATGATGTTCTGTCAATACATGCAGTGATGTCCTGGTGCATGATCCTGAATGGAAAATTCAGTCGGGTCTAGGAGCAGGAGACCACCTGCCCCTTGGCAAAATGTGCACAACTGAACAGCTCCAGCATCTCTGTTCTGGCAGCTGCAAAGGTCCTTGGGGACACGTGTTGGTATCAGACCATCACCTCGTCTGTGCAGCAGCTGGTTCACACCTGCCTGGTACCCCACGGGGTGCCACAGCCCTCACTGTCCTTATTCACTGGCCAGAAGATGGTGCTTTGTTACCTCCCATCAGCTCAGAGCAGAGGACTGGGCAAAATTCATAACCTTTTTCTGGGTCCTCATGGTGTTCGTGTCCATATTTGTACTGGAAAACCGAGCCACTAGAAAATAATCTGCAGAATTAAAGCCCAAAAGCTCTATAACGACATGAAGACAGTCTATTCTACAATAAATTATCCTCAGCTATTTCTTTCTCAGGAATTTCTTCTCCCTTGCCTTTACTTGCAAAGTACACTTCTAAAGCTTTCATTTATACACAGCTTAAAAAAAATAACCTATTTGTTAAAGAACACACACACTGACAAAGATCTAAAAATATGAGAAGCAAACTATAGTTGTGATGATACTGCCTCATAAACAAGAATACAAACACTCGTGCATGACTGATCTGTACTGTCTTGGCTGACTGAATACTAAGTAACTTGGGTTTGATGCCACTCACACACACTGCTCCAACATTGTATTTTCTGCCAGCTTTCAGCATGCTTAGAATGGCAATGTAATTAAAATGGAAAGGTAAGTACATTAGAAACCATACTTTCCCTTATTAAATGCTAATTCCAAAATAGGTTTTCTTCTGGGGTAGAAGTTTGGGCTATATTTAAGAGCTGACAAGTTTGGGTAATATTATCAAGAATAGCGCTTTTAAAAAATGGAAGCAATTTCTTCCACGTGTTCATAGACAAAGCAATTGACAAGCTTCTAGTGGCTATGCAATTCCTTCTACCACGTTCACTGCTTTAAAATTTAAAAAATTAAAATATTAGGGTTTAAACATCTAGCCTTTGTCTTGTTTCAATAATAATCTGTTTCTCCTAAAGCTCTGAGCTAGTCAGTTTTGTGGTGATGGTTTTCTGTCTCTTCACATCACAGGAAAAGATGTAACCTTTTTTCCTATTTGCCCTTGCTTTCATAGTGCTATGGCTCTCTGTCCTTTCCAGGCATATTTATTCAGAGTGTATTGCATTGCTGAGCACATAAGAGATCTTGATGAGAAAAGAGACAGAAGATACAACAGGAATAAATCTTGAGATATGAAAGTAACTATTTTTTGCTAAGGAACTAAAAAAATCAACAAAGAAAACAAAAAACACATATAAAAAGTTTCATCCAACCTTCCTCCAAACAGGAGAATGTAAAATCCAGCACCAAGGTTACTCGAATCTGCTTCACATGGTAGGTTTGTGATTTGGCGTAGAGTATTAGTCTGAGGAAACCCCTTTGGCTGACACAAAAATCACATGACTCTTAAACTGAAAAGGACCAAGTTTTTAGAAGAGATGCACGCTACATTTGTCATACACTTAGATGAAGCAGACTCAGGTGTCTCTCAATAGCGAATGGCTACAAATAGAAAATATAAACTGCTTGAGCATTTAGACTTCAAAGCCAGAAGGTCTATGAACATTGTCTGGCTTCTTATTGAATATGAATCATTAAATTACATGTATTCATCCCAATAACTGTGCTTAGGCATTTTAACTTGGAGAAGATTAAGCTGTTGGGTGCTCTACCAGGGAACAAAAAAAAAGACAACCTGCCACCTGTGCCCAGAGGTTCTGCAATGACAGGGAAAGGTGTTATTGAGATAGCCAGGTGGTCTTGGCATATAACCCCCACTTTGTGCAAAGGAAAACAGGCAAAAATACCTGAAACCTGGTGAAGAATGCTTCTGGGCACCAAAATTGGCAGTTGGGTCTAACCCAGCCAGTTCCAAACACAGGGAAGAGGTTGACCATGTAGGTATAGTACACCAGTTGTGGCCAATTTTAGATACTTCAGAGGAAAATCACGACACTATCTCTGGGCAACAGACTTGCAAGTCTGAACATCCCTCCTTTGCTCATTTAGGTGCTGGAACTTTTCCCTGTACACTGGTTTGTATCTTCTATGAGGTCTGCTTTGTATGCTGACTTACCAGGGCTGAAATGTTCCCCAAGGAGTAAAACCACGAATGAGCACGGTATAGAAGCGTTGTCACTGAATGGTCTCACTGGCTATCTCTACAGCTGGTTATCTCTACATCTGGTTGACCATGCTTCTCTTTTTGCTATTACACCTGCAGCAGAGACAGACAGATGTCATGAGATCCTTAACCTCTACTTTGCACAGTGAGGTGATCTTCACCCAAACTGATGAAGCAAAGGCCGGCTGTGGAGCACAAAACAAATCTAAACAAATATCTGACTCAGCTACTAAACTGAAACAGCAGCAGCTTTGAGGAGGAAGTTGGCAGCACCACTTAGAAATCCATGGACTGCTTCCAGCTACCCTCTTCTCCACTCACTCTAATTATTTATCCCTGATCCCTAAATAGACTCTGTTTCAGGATTACTTAAAGGAAATGTACATTTCCGTAGCTGCTTTTTCTCTCCCTTTCTAATTCACTTTTTTGACCTTAGACAACAACCTACAAAGTAGGTTAGACCATTTCATCCACACTACAGCCTGTGTAAAATCACACAGTCTTAACCCACACATGAAGCTTGTCTCTATGGGTTTATTAAATGTAACTGTGGCTTTGTTTTATTTTTCTAGCAGAAGCCTCACTAAGTGGTATCTTTTTGAACTGCTGCTTTATGAGTATATAAAGAAGGCAGCTATTCTTCCTGTTCTGAACTCTTGATTCAGATACTCATATTTATAGTTAATAAGGCCAAAGCAGATCGACAGGCCACATGATTGGCAGTGATGCCAAATGTTTCCATAAGTGTGTTCAAATGAAAAATCAGTTTCTCATTCCAAGCGTATCTAAAATACTTTTTTTAATTTTGTGTAAATTCACAAATGATACAATATTGAAGTGGCTGTTTTGCCCCCCCCCCCCCCCCCCCCTTTTTTTTTTTTTTTAAATATACTGTACAATCAGGTTAGTTGTGTTTTACATCAAGGCACAGCACACCATATAATACATATATGCCTCGCCAGGCAGCAGTTTAGTATAATCCCCGAGTTTTGGCAGTAGTGCCAGGATACGCAGCATAGATCACATATAAGCTGGAAGATAAATAAATAATAGATGCTGTCACATTTTATTTGAAATAGAGTTGCATATAAAAAGAATATACAATAATTTAACTTTAATAGATTATCTTGTACTATACATAACAGAAGTGTTTTCATTTGTATTAAATAAAACATTTTCAATATCAAGATGCAAAATTAATCTTCTTTTTGGCTGTCTTGATTTATGGAGAAAAGTTGCTTTCATTAGAAATTAAAGTTGAATTTTTGGTTTCATGGCAACCTGAAAAAAAAAAACCACCAAAACAAATCCAGAGTTACTGATACATTGGTAATGAAATGTTGCTAGTAAAATAATCAAATCATTCCAAACAAACTGTTGCATTTGGTTATGCACTGTGAAGAAGCACATTCTAAGCAGAATGTCTACAAAAGCTCTTTTTCACAGTCTAAACTTGCCACTGTTCTATTTGTACTTTTTTTTTTTATTTACCCTGATACTTGCCCTGCTTTCTCAGGGATTATCACTGTAGGTCTGTTATTCATCCAGCAAAACTAAAATTCTGATAACGCCACAGGTTGCCTGCACTGCAGATTCTGTTTATTGCAATGTATTTACCATATTCACATTATCATTCAGCTTTTTACATTTGAACGCTTCTTCTTCGCCTGCCGAAGGCCTTGGATCCCACGTTGGTTGGTACAAAGTTGTTCTTGCCCACTCCTCCTGACCTGCTCAGGAAATCTGCCAGACGATGGGTGACACAGGTTGCTGTGTTGCATGCCCTCTTCTGTGCTGTTACACTGCTTTTCAAAAGGAAAACACAGAGTTAGTTCTGAAGTATCTACCCTCACACAGTGACATGTCAGTAAGGGATGCTATGCCTAGGGAAGATTTTTCTATAGAAGAAAAAGTAGGCTTGCTATGCAGCAAGAGTCTGCAACTTTTGTGTGCACAAATTACAAGCTCTAAAGGATGCAGGTTTATGTCAGGCTGTTCACAAAAGGTGGCTGAACCCTTCCTTTCTTGGGCAATTGGATAGAAGACTAAACCAAACCAGATTTTCAGCAGCACCCAAGCCATTGCCTGCCTCCAGCAAGTCATTATGATCAAGATTGGTGCTGAGGTCCAGGTCTAGAGCACTGAACCAATCCCCATTTCCTCAGCACTTTCTTTGGAGTGCTGCTGCAGGACAGCAGCAGACATTGATCTTTAACTTCTCACTTTGACATCTGTGCTCCACAATACCCAGAAACACATGAAATCCTGGCATCGCTGATGACTCCAGGAGCTTTGTCAGTGACTCTGGCAGGGCCGTACCTGCCCAGCAGCTGACCAGTTGCTTTCAGCACTGAACCACACAAACACACTGCTTCCATGTATTTAACGGGAACTTCTCTTCTCTGGAGTTAGACCCCTGCCTAGTACAGCACTTCACCATGGGACCAGTTCACTGACTTCCACCGAATTAGTTCTGTGCAGAGTTCAGCCTACAGCTAGCAATTCTGATAGAGGACCTAAGTCATACACTTTTGTGCAGTCCTTACTTGAGGCAATTGTCTACTAAAGCAATGACTTTTTCTGGCAGTCGGAGGGATTTTTCTCAGATAAGCATTACAAGACAGATTATTAGTGTTAACAAACAAATACTGTTTGTAACATTAATGCCAGTTTTTTGGAACAGGCTTACAAAATTATAAGATAGATGCAGTGCTGCAACAGAATAACTGTAAAGAAAGCTGCTTTTTTGTTTTGAATTAATACAAATATTTTAAAGACACCAAGTTTTGAATACACTATTGTAAAGACCTATTGTAAAGTAAGAAGGAAAAAGGAAAAGAACACAAAATTCTTACCTGGAAGCTCTCAGTACCCAGTTTTAAACAGGATTACATTTTTAGTTTGTTTGAAAAAAAAAAAATCTGTATGAGCCTTTTCTGATCCCTTTGCTTCTCAGGAAGCTTACTAACAGGATTGCATGCACGCCCGATTAAATCAGTACATATGAATGTGTGCATTTAACTTCAAGTCCTAAGTTCTCTTTCAGCTTCTCTAGAATTACTGGCATTGCCTTTCGAGCATTAAGACAACTTGTAAAATTTTTCTAGCTATATCTAGAAATCTCACATCCTAAAACAAGTTATTAAACTAAGCAGATCTAATCCTTATAGAAAAATAGGTTTATTGAACAATTGCATGGGCAGGCACAAAAGATGAGTCTACTTGTACTTTTAGCAGCCAGAAATGAAGAGCCTTGCTTAGATTTTTTTTTTAATCAGGGTCTAAGAAAATCATTTGAAATCTCAAGGCAGTGCTGTTCATTTGTATTTATTTATTTTTTCCCCTAGCGTGGTATGCATGTTATGTTCTCTGTCTTCCTAACATTAGGTCCATCTCAAACATTCTCTGTCAAAAACATAATCAAAGGACATAACAAAGTTAGCAATCAAAGTGAGATCCACATGCATCAGGTTAAAAAAGGGAGAAGGGAAGAAATAAGCATGTCTAGTTGTTTCCTAGGGGTTCCCCATAGTTTGCATAGTGTTCATGTTCCAGGTCACTCAGCACATTTCGTTTCTTGCCAGGAGTTCCAGCCCCGACGTCAGTGCGAGGGTAAGTTTGCAATTTGTGCAATTCTTGAGACAGTTTGCCCAGCACACAAGTACTCAGACTGGCACAGCGTTTGGAAATGGATCTATCCAGGCTGCAGGGGGGAAAAAAAACATGCCCAAAAGAAGAATAATCTCAAACATGCACGTTCATGCTTTTCTTCCCTAGACAAATATCAAGTTAGTAAACGTAAAAAAGTAAATAAAAAAACCATCACATTCCATGCAAGGAAGGTTCATACAAATGCAGTCAGAAGGAAAACACTGTTTTTCAATGAATTCAACTTTGTTGGAAAAGCAAGTTCATTAGCCTTTTGGATGCTCGAAGTCAGGGGTCAGGAAGTTTTACCTTCCATGTATTCAGCATGCTGTTCAGACTCTCATACATCACCACCATGCTTTGCAGTACAAATCCTGTTAGGATAATGCAAATGCTCTTGCATGCCTTTGGGAGAGCGGCGCTGCGTGCATCAGGAGGAACACGTCCCCTCTGCCAGGGACTGACTTTCCATGCCTTACAACAGCATGCACTTTCACGACAGAGAATCCAAGAGTGACTGAACAGCCCCTGACACTCCCACTGGGAAGACGTACCTTGTGTTGCCATATTTTAACACAACCCCCTCATTCAAGCTCAAATCACCCTCCACTTTCAGTTGTAAGCGATAGACAGAAGCAGGTTAACTGGGTGGAAGCCATTCTTCAGATACCAACATTAAGATGTTGTCTCTGTAGTGTTACACTTTACTAGTTAGGTGACCAGTCAGCCATAACCCCAAGGAAAAACAAAAATAATAAAAAAAGTCTTGACCCGCAGAGGGTCCGCTCAGATGGCTTTTGCCCAATATCAAACACATAATACCCGCCATCGCCTTCCTCCTGCCCCAGGACTGCAGTCCTTACCTGTTCCCCTCAGAGGCTTGCTCCAGCTCTTCTGCTGTCATCTGTATGAACTCTTTCACCAGTGCATTTAATAACCTCCGAGCTTCGTAATCACTGAGCGTCACTCGATCTGTTATGGACTCCAAGCCAGGTCTAGGCAGAGGCAAGGAAAACAGGATGAATAAAAGCCAGGCTGCTGCAGAGAGCCACACACAGGAGAGGGGTTTGTCGTGCATCACTGCACGTCACTGACGGCATCTTTCACTGGTGTGAATATATGAGCCATCCTCATGCACAGCATTAGGTGTTTTAGATATGTAATTAAAAAGCCACAGTGCCAAAGACAGCATCAAAAGAAGCCAGCTTTCTCATTCACTGTACTCTACTTCCCTCCCGGGTCTCTGAAGAACACTATGGATTTTGGTACCATTCAGATCCAGCACTCAGCAGCAGGACCAGCTTCTTACCTGACTGGGGCTGCCTGGAAGCTGTCCATCTGGCACACGACCAAGGCCAAAACAGCAAGGAAAGATGAAATCTTCAGCATAACCATGATTTCCTCTCTACAACAAAGAGGTACATCAAGCCATGGCTGTTTTCCAACCCTCACAATCCAATACGGTCCACTAAAGAGGTCATGGTTTCCTAGCCACAAGTAGCACAAATACTAACTGCTTTTTTTTTTTTTCTTTTTTAGCATTACCTTATGATTTCATGTGATTATTGCCACTTTGCTTTGGTTTTCTCACAGTTTTAAAATAACTTAGCACTACTACAGGGTATAAAAATGCAGTTTTTCAGAGCTGCAGGTCTATACAGCTATCTGCATTCAATTTAATACAGACTTTCCCTCAAACTGGTGGAAAATGCATTTATCTGACTAACTATTGCACACAAGGTCACAGTCAGTGTGGCTGACATGAGCAGGGACAACTATGGGATAAAAGTCACAAGAAAAAAAAAAAAAAAGAAATGAAGCAGCATTCAATGCCTGGTGTTGTAGAGGCTGAAGTGCCACTGGTAGCATTTTACCTGCAACTACTTGCTTCTTGGCAGCAAGCACAGCAATATACCTGTTCAGATTACACTGTAAGAATTACATAGCTTAAGTTCAGCAAATATTTCTACTCTGAAACCAGAAAAAAGGATAAGTTAAAAAATAGTCATTAGAACAAAAGCTGTAAAAAGAAAAAAGTCTCATTGAAGATACCTGCTCCGAGATACACCTCTGTTTTGTCATCAGTGACTTAGACTCAAGAAAGCACATCGTTAACTACCACATCACGTTCTCGCCAGCTCCCGACTCGCGACGCGGCCCCCCGGAATGCAGCGGCCCCTTCCAAAGGGCACCCCGCTTCCCCGGGTCCGCGACTGGCGCCGCGGAGCACCGGGCGGGCA